TTTATACATGTTTAAATTTAGCTCCTTAACCTTAAAAAGTTACGGGTAAGAATATTTGCATTTAAAGCACATCAGTATCATGAATAAAATGAAGTAAAATTTTATAAATTAATCTGTAGTGTTTCTCGCCCAAAAAAAAAATTTCTTACATACTTACCAACATCTTATCAGGACCTATCAATTGGTATCAGAACTAGATCCAAATGGCCTCCAACAAAGAACACATTAAGAATCTAAAAATGAGTCTCGGAACTTTACAGGACAACTTTAGTTTGTAAGAAACTGGAATAGCCGACAAACATCATATGATTGAGGATTCTTTCAAGTAGCTAACAGACACAGTCATTTCCAACTGTAAAGGCTCCAACAGTAACTAGACCGCTCGCCTCAGCCAGTTGCGCATGAATCACGAAGATGGCAACAGACGCACAGACGAAGGCTGTTAACCTTTTTACTTCAAACTCGCCAAACTCAATTTTTCTTCTTACATTGGCGATGACTCAACGAAGTGGATTAACTGCATAAAGTAGTTCTTCGAGCACTAGAGCATCGATGTGGATCAAAAGGTATTATTGGCATTGTACCACTTGTAAGGCGAAGCCAATAAGTGGTGGCAATAGCTTCACCGGTTCTGCACGGAAAAAGATAAAGAAATTATTTGGATTGTATTTGAAGAGGAGTTTTGGGCCAAGTTTGGGGCAAGTTTGGGCCAACTGAGAGTGAAGACTTTGATGAAGCCTTGTCCAAAGTAAATCAGACTAGTCCATTACGTGAATACTAAAAAGAGTTATAGTGACTAGGAGGATAAATGTAAAAGGCTTTGGTGGGGACTTTTAGCAGTGGGCATAAGCTCAAAATAGCAAATGAGATCAAGATGTTCCAACCTAAATCCTTAAAAGAAGTGATTAGCCTGACCCGCATGGGATAAAATCAATTGAATCAATGACGCCGATCTAACCAGTTCAGGCAAGTTGCAACCACCCAACCATCTCAAGCATTAGCAGCTCCAACGTCATAAAACGTCTCGACTCCTTTTGTCGCCAATAAGCAACACTCGTAGGACAAAATACAGAGACAACAAGCGCACCGACTTTGCTTCAACTGCAATGAGAAGTTTACAAATGGACACAGATGCCGCTGAACTTAACTTTTGCTTCTAGAAAGCGACAACAAAGAAGAAGAAGATATTAGGCCTGTGAAGCCTGGATAAAGGGATAACCCAAAAAATAAAGGGATTGGTAGAGCTGCATGAAGATTCTACAATATGAACCTTGAGTACAAGGTTCCTAAAAGGGGAGACAATGATAAGATAATAAGGAATCCCAAGTATACCTAGTAAAAGACCGTACAGCTAGGAAATAGTCAAAGTAGCTCCAACACCTGCAGGATTTTGATGCCATCTTCGGATACTGAGCCAATATCTATCTTCATGCTTCTTTGATCCTCGAAATTGCAGACCTCTAAACCCTAGTTGCATCTCATAGCGCCCTCTATTCTCTCTTCTTCTTCGGAGCCCTCGAAGCATATTCTTCCCCTGTCGTATGTACGAACGAGAAGAAGGCTTCTTTCTATTCAGAATGACGTCTTCCAGTGGCCAGGATTAACTTTGAGACAACGTTGTTTTGAGCTCGTGAAAATAATATTAAAAATCTGAAATAATGTCGTTTAGTTTGACTCCGAAACAAAACGACGTTGTTTCAGATGCTGGGTTGGTGGAGCCCAGGATGGATCATTTTTGGCCTTTTGCTCAGGTAGACAATAATAATATTATAATAATAAAAATATCATCAATTATAAAAAATAAATCTTTTTACTTGAATTTCTCACTATTTTATTATTGTTATTATAATTATTTGATCAAATAAAATTAAAATATTTTCGGGAATTAATTTAAAAATACATATTATATTTAAATCAAAAATTGCTACAAGGGCTAGTGTATTTGGGTATATGTTCCATTATAATATCCAATATTATTCTTGATAGTGGATCCCAACAGTTGAATTAACTGGAGGATACTGTAAGTTAAAAGTACCGAATGCAGTAGTAGTTCACAAATTTTTAAGGAGACTAGCCTCTTGCAATTTGGAGAAAGATTCACGAGAAGGTTTTGAATTTTGAAGGGGTAACATTGTTTAGAATGAGAAAGGTGGGTTGTCAGTCCAAAAAGGTGAATTGATTTTTCAAGTTTACTCATTAACCAGAAATTATTTGGATATTCAAAGTCATACAAAATTAAGAATCTTGAACAAAATCAATATAAAAATACAAGTAGAGAAGGGAAAGAGAATGCAGTCGTATTTTGCCACCAATCATATGCCTGTAGTTCTCTCCTACTTGAACTTCTTCAAAAAGATTGTTGAATATGATGTCTAATTCACCGATTTCAATGACCATCAAAGTATATACATATATAATTATTAAGGTGTTAAGAGTTTTCCTAAATATATTCTTTAATAAACCAATATAAATATCAACTTTTTAAATCCTAAATTTATTTCTCCGAGTCAGTTTTGGAGGACAGAGATGGAGGGAGAGATTCGACGAAAGAAACATAAAATCTATGTTTACTAATTAACTAGTTTCTTGCGTTGGCGGATAATAATATATGAGAGTTTGGTTTTATTTTTTTATTTATTTTTTATTTTTATAATTTTCATAGGATTTGTTTAGTCTTCTACAATAACTCTATAGATTTAGCAGATTTATATAGTAGATCATTAGAAAGCTTTTCGCCATAAACTTTTCTCAAGCATACCATGGGTTTCTTGCATAATTAACCAACTTGGTAGCACTACAAAGTAAACTTCCAGCCACCATTTGATAGCCCTTCAAACAAGCTTTCCAATTATATCAAAATCGTGTTCTAGTTGATTGGGGGGATTGAAAGATTTGATGACATGAAATTAGACTCTGAAAAAAGCTTATAAGAGACAATATTTTAAAATGATTTTTTACACTCAGGCTTGTCTTTAAAGAAATTATACTTTCCCTACTTATTCTTAAAATAATATATCTTTAAAAAATTTATGAATTTCACAATTTTATTATGATTTTTAGAACTTGAAAAAATTATATGATTTTAAATGACAGACTTGACTATAATATAAAATCCAGAAATATTTATAGTGATCCGCGCAACACGTGCATCTGTCGCACATGCATCCCATTTTTTCAAGTAATGAGAAAGTAAGTAGACAATTTTAAAACTTGAATAAATATAAATCCCAAGTAAAGACTTAACACAAACAGATTTTATTTCCAATTCCACCTAAAAAAATATAATGTCACATACATACAATAAGACACCCATTGAGTGCACTTCACATTTACATTGTTTAATTGTTTATTTTCCTCATAGAACTGAAAGCCTAACAACCTGAAGCCTTGAGAGAAGTTGGACAGAACAAAGTACAAATGATACGGGATTTATATAACTAACTACACATTCAGATATGGATATACATGCATATACATATATATATGTATAGAGAGAGAGAGAGGACATCTGTCATATAAAAGATATACTATTCCTCCAGTGTTTGCTTTCATATCCGGCCAAACTGCCAATATTTCTAGAGAATGTAACAGCAAACCAAAAATAGTCACAGCAAACAGAACAAAACATGCATATAACACCAATCAGGACTAGCATCAATTGCAAGATACTTAATCTGCAAATTGTAACTGAAACAGGCTTGATAAACAAATTCTATATATGCAGATTCCAAATGCAAAATATCATTCAAAATTCTAGTCGACCCGAACTCCTTAGGACCCAAATAATTAAAGATAATAAATAACTGCCATTTAAAGTTTGAACAATGCCAATGAACACACTCAATCCCAATGGAGTGGAGTGGAGTGGAGTGGAGTGGAGTATTAACACTATAAACCACCCACCAGCTTCTCTTACTTCGGTCACTCTCTCGCCTATCACAAATTGCATAATAATAAATCCTACATCCAAAATACTATCACCTGCACACTCATAATTCAACCACCACACCTATTCCTTAATCAGCTTCTCCATTCAAATAGTATTTTCCTCCAAAATTCTTTACTTCGTGGTTAGGAATTCCATTTCCTTGAACTAGTATGAGCAATTAAAAACAATTGTCTTGTAGAAAGTCAAAATGACATGCTCCCTCAACACGTATGCCATATTCAAGAAAATCCAACAGCAAGCAACCCCTCACATCTAAGTTGGTATATTCTTTGTCTAGGATGTCAATTTCACATAACAATTACACCTTTTGCTGTTCACATATATCAATCTATAAATATTCATACACTCACATCTACAAACAATGCAAAATCCAACGGAAGCATAGAGTCCGAAAACCCACTTAGAAAAACCCACAATATCAACTCTATCAAATAATAACATCGTGAAAATGAAGTGCCAACTATTCCTAGACCAAAG